CTGATGTCGCCCATGGGCTTTGCTGTAGAAGCATTCTATCTGTAGCAGTTTGCTACTAAGATGGCTGTAGTTTTCTTGGCGATGATGATAAACTATCAGTTGTCGGAAAAGGCAATAAAAAATGGACCACATTTACGAGTAAGCAGGGCACTGTATGAGTATTTCAAAAATCTTGGTGAAAGTAGTAGTATTATAGCTTGTAGGATATTTTAGCTACGGTTTGCATTTCTAAATACGATTTTTAAGTAAATTTACACTAACGCTCTTTTTGTCAGCAGTCGGCGGCACGCCGTTACCTTTCCTGTAAGCTTTCGCCGTTGTTTGCCGTTAATAAATCAAAAATTAAATTCATAGGTATTATTTCAGTTCAAGGGCTGTATGTATGAAATAAGCACAGCAGACGACGGCAAATACTCACGTTTGTGACCGACCAAAACGTCCGCTGGACGTCTTGGTCGTTCAGACCATTATTCGGTTACACTTGTCGGTGCTTCTGGCGCAGATCCCCCTTATATTTTCTTATGCTTGATTCTGTTTTTTTTTTGTGTCGTATTATGTTTTCTTATGTCATCGTATGCTTCTTCTTAAGTCACAGCACTTCTGACTTTATTGCTGACACTGCACTGAAATTATTGTTTCTGCTATGTCGGCAATCAAGTGCTCTCTGTAAGTAGTACTTACATAATATATAATCCATAAACTGTAACGTACGGAACATGTGCCAAAAAGCGCAACACAGTAACACACACCAAAACTGAAAATTGTAGCAGTTTCTACTGAGTAAAAAAAATGTTTATACTTAAAAACTACTTAAAAATGTTTATTGTAATTGAGGGATTCTGTACAGAGTATGTGGTACTTTTAAGAATAATCCACTAACGCTGTATAAGGTGGATTTCTGATATTTGGGTAGATATATAAAAACAATTTTACGCCGATAGCCGAAACAATGCAGTATAACATTTACAGAATCTGCATTACTCTATGAGCTGTTTCCTTAACCGCGGCTACACGCCGGGCGTTGTGAATATGGGTCACCGCCATACTAGTCCGTAATATGCAACCTTTAATTTATTTTTTTGTCATACGTGTCCCCTTTGGACACTTGGCACCATTCTGAGTACAACGGAACAGAACAAACCATACGGGAAGCAGAAAAAATTAGCCAGTGAAAGGTTTCTGAAATGAAAGCTAAATGAAAGTTGTAATGCTACAGACAGAATACGTTTGAACGCTATATGCTATGTCGTAGAACTCTTCCTTGAGTAAGATTGCATTCCAAAAACGTTTAACAGCGTTCAGTTTGCACTTTGCTTCAGTAAATGGGCCCCAGTGCACTCGAAAAAAGATTTTGTGAAGCGCAGTTCTCCTTGTCCAGAGTAATTTTATTCCATAATAGCGCCAGGACCCACGCTACTGGTGAGGGAATGTTTACGTATAATTACACTATATACGTAATCAGTTCCAACCGTAAATTCCAGCCGCCAATGGAAATGAAAAGATGGGCAGCTTGGAACTTTTGTTTTGAGAAACCTAGGAAACCAGAAACAATCGCAACATATACTACACAACCATTTCCAAACCAAACAATTGAGAAGAATTCAGATTAAATGGACATTGCAGTAGCCACCCTCACTTGCTAACTGCTGTTTCCGTTTTTGTTAGTATTATTTCGTGTTTCGAATTACTGAAGTAAGGGAGAGGGCTGAAAATTTATGACAATGCACTTTGTGGGAGTAGGTCACCCAAACCAAATAACAAGAATGGATAAGGATCAAAAGCGACTTTTTCACGAACTACGTAAAGCTGGATCCACTCGGCAGCAAATCGCGGAACGCCTGGGTATCACTTTTGAGTCGCTGAGCAGCCATCTCAAAAGGGAAAAACTAACTTGTCGAACGAAGCTGACTGAGGAGCAGAGTAAAGAGATTGTACAACTTATTCGCCAAAAAGAGTACAGTTTAGCAGAAATCGCGAAAAAATTCAATATTGGCAAGTCGACCGTGCAGCGAGTGCAGAAGCTGATGGACCTTACTGAAGAACAATGCAAGACAATCCTCCAACTATTCCGTCGGGGCTTGTCAAAAGCGGATATTATGAACCAGGTTAATGTAGCAGCGGATGTCGTAGAAGCTGTAATTCAAACAAATGGAAAGAGTTTTGCTGCGCGGAATGGACCGTCACTCATCCCTCCGAAGACGAAAGAAGAGATACTTCGCTGTTTTGAAGAAGGACACAGCGAACCGCACATCAGGGAGAAGTTCGGTTTGTCACCAGCCACCCTCGAATTGTTACTGCGGCAGAATGGGGAAGCATTTCGGGAACGGATCCAACGAAATCACAAGCAAACGCGAGTTGCTGCTCGCAAACTGCGAGCTGCAGGATGGTCATGGAGTGCCATAGCAAAGCAGCTTCAAGTGAGCGTGCCGACGCTAATAAAAATACGGAAAATGTCCAAACAGGAATCGACTAAACCGGAAGAGCGTCCTTTAAACAACACAGAGTCAGCCGAAGAATGCCTACTGGAATCTGTGAGAACCGAAGACAATCCGATTGCAAAGCACCGCAAAGCAAAGCTCCGCAAAGGACAAACGTTGAAAGTTGATGAAGACGACAAAAGTGACACAAGGGAAGGGTGTCGACGGTCGGCTCGGCTGAAGATCAAGCAGCATGGCGTTACCAGAAGTAAACGCCGATATGTCGATTGTTCCAGTTTTGCTAATACCTCGCTGCGTGACGACGGCGAAGCAGCCACAACGGCGATTCATGAATCCGCCCACAACACTGAGGAAATAGATAAAACAGTTGGGAATGACATCCTTCAAGCATCAACAAACACGGATTACGAGAAGAGCTACACTGGTACGTAAAATAACCAACTGCTCTTATGCAGAATGCAATAAAAGCATTCTCTGTATTGTGCTGATTCTGACTATGACCTCGGCTCAGATTTAACCGTATCGTATCTCGCTACAGACTGCAGGCGCGGTCCCAGTACCGCTCGATGTTCTGTCGTGTATAAAGTAAAAGACGTTGATAGCCGAATCTGAAAGCCGAGGTCACATTTGCCAAGAGGTCTGATAGCCGAATCCTCATTGGAAAATGTGAACCAGAGCAAACCGTGAAGTTAATCACATCGAGAACAAATCTCTAGTTTGTTGGAATTATTCAACACTTGATGTTACTCTGGGCACCGCTGCGCTTATATACACTCGGCATACGCAGATGCCTCGCTTTACGTACTCACAGGTACCGAAGAACAATAGGGATAAACTAGCTAGCCTATACACTACGACAGCATAGCACGTGGACGAACCAAAACCTGAGGTCACAACGTACATGAGACCAAAAGGTAGAGCCGCTCGGTTAAGTCACGGTCACGACGAAATGTTAAGTCGCGGTCAAAGTTCTCTGCTGGGGACTTCTGAGAAGACGCGACTCGGAAACGGGGTCATGACTCGAGTAGCTGAAGTAATAAAGATCGCAGAGCAGGGGCAGTATAAGTAGGATCGCAGAGCAGGGGCAGTATAAGTAGTAAAGTAGTACGATGTGGGCGGTCGGTACGCCCGTACACGTCAGTTCTTTCAAGAACCTTTCCGTGAATGTTTGAAGCAACCGCCGTAAAACGCTCAGATTGTTACTATGTAGCCTATGTACGGTATATCGCAGTTTGTTTAATCGTTTCGCAACAGATTACTGTCCTAAAGCACGCCTTACTAGTATTTCGCGTAATTACTTAATGCACTTGCTGCTGAATAGTCGTTTTATGTACTCTGTAAGTCTGTAAACATGTTAGCTGAATTGTACCTGATTCTCTTCTGTCCATTTTAGTCGCGGAAGATGAGGATGCACCTCAGCAAGACGAAGAAAACAGCCGTGCTGATTCGGCGTCTCCGTGTGAATGTGCGCCAGATTTGATCATTTGGTCTGGACGTCAGCGTGCTGTGACCGTTACAGAGGAACCATCGGCGGACGCCGTGGGCCAGCCAGCGGCCAATACGTTCGCCCGTCACATTACACAAATACCGGAAAAGCAGCGATCGCCATCACCCAATGGAGATACGCGAAGCACCCTTCTAGTTTCTCCAAACAGTCAACATAGCAACAGCACTGAAACATGCAGTGAGCCGTTTTTTGTGTCGATATTCGAGCCACCCACCCTATTGACAAACCCGATCATCCAAGAACAGGAAATGGATGCGGGCCGGGAAGAAACTGAGTTCTACGAATTTCAGGCCGTTCTTCTACAACTGCGCGAAGAGGGATGGTCGTATAAAGCAATACGGCAGCATATTGAAGGTTCTTTCCTTCCCGACGCTCTCTCACTTCACGATGCCAACGGAGACACCGAAGAAAAGATCCAAGGCAGCCACAAAGAAACATCCTTGACTGGTCGGCCGTCTGATGTAAGTTACCCCATTTTATAAAAATGTTGTTTTCTTATGGTGCCGAATTTTTAAAATAGATAATGTTGAGCAGGAGAGAAACTGTAGTAATAATTAATTATCAAATATACTTTGATTTGTTTCATATTTCGCTCACTTTAATTACCGGTGCATGATTTAATATTTCTCTCCCCAGGTATCAAAAGTCCCTAGCAAAATTAAACTCATAGAAATGGCTACGTTTCATAGTAAAACTTCCATTTTAACGCATTAACGTCAATACATGATTATAAAAACACAACCGGCATAACAGGACATGGACCGGTGCAATGGAGGAAGGACGGATCCTCCATGCATTCATGATTCAACATACAAAGTAGCTTTTGAAATACCGTATTAAATTTGTTTTGAACGAATATTCGATTTGTTCGGGTTACACAAAGTAGCGAAAAAACGAGCCAAAAGGAAAGTCGAGCAAATATCAGCAGTTCATATAGCACGCCGCGCGTTTCGGTGGTGTGACCGGTGAGGAAATTATGAAACCATTTAATTAAAGTGACCGAAATAGGGGAAAAATTAAAGTATATACGATGGAAATTAACTATAAACTATACTTCGCTTCTACTCACGTTCCGACCGCTTACAGATTACACTTTAGCGTTCCGTCCACCCGATTGCATTTGTAGCCCCTGTAGTGCGCGGCTACGTGGTTATTAACAGCTGACTGCAAAGTGCAGTTTGTTTTTCATCAGCACGTTCAATTTAATTCTCCAAGACCAAAGTATTTTAGTACTTCTATTGTTCGTTTCTCACAAACTGCTTATCATTTTGCAGTTTTGTTTCTTTATTTGTTATCGTGTGTACAAATCTGTTTGAAAGCGCGGCGCCAGCTAATGCTACTTTTGTGACTGATGGAATTATGGACCGGGAGAATCGTCTTTATCTGGCCGTGCAACAGGTTCGTAATGGGACGTTCTCTTTGCGTGCTGCAGCGAAACTTTACAGGATTCCAAAAACCACGCTTCGAGATAAAGTTCAAGGGAAGCCTGCGCAGACGAGAGGTTCTTGGAGCAGAAAGTTCACCGATGCTGAAGAAACGTACCTGGCTAATTTTCTACTGAAATGCGCGGATATTGGCGTGCCTATGAACAAGTCGTTTTTGAGAAGGCTCGTGGTTAACATCGCGCTGCAGAAAGGCATGGGAGCGACGTTTAGCCACGCCTGGTTAGATCGATTCCTAAAGAGAAATCCCGAGATTTCATATCGCGTAACCCATGGGGTTAACAGGAAAAAGTGTAGAGAGTGGACCGCGGAGACTTGCCAGGGATGGGTGACGCTGCTGAGTGAACTGCACATCGACGGATGGCTGGACGATGCAAACGGGATTTGGAACTTAGACGAGAGTGCCTTTTCTACCGCGGAGAAAGTGGATTTTGTTTTTACTCGGAAGGGGACTAAGAATATCCTGTCTTATTATGATGGGAATGATCGCGAACTTATTACAGTTCTGGCCGGAGGAAATGCAGCAGGGTTTATTCTTCGACCGTTGATTTTGTACGATGGTAAAATGCATTTGACATCGCGAATTGCTGGCACAGAGGATCGTTGTTGGTTGGGTGTGAACCGGTCCGGAATCATGGATAATGATGTTTTCCTGGAGTACTTCGAGAAAGAAGTGATCCCTAATATGACTGCTGAAAAGGTAAGCCAAAAATTAAAAATTCAGTGAATAATTCATATGAAAATATTCATAAAATTTTTTGATAATTTAATTTTGTATTTTGTGTAGAATCTGGTGATGCTGGACGGGCACAGCTCCCACGTGTACAACGAAGAGTTTCTGCTGAAGTGCGTTCAGTCCGAAAAAAATATTCGCGTTGTGATTTTTCCGGCGGGACAAACAAGCAAGACTCAGCCACTAGATCTCAAGGTGTTCGGTCCTGTAAAGCGTGCATGGAAAAATGTGCTGCGCGAAAAGAATTTGTCAGTCGCATCCGTTGGGGTATGTGAAAAGTTTGTTTTTCATAAATTTGTTCATTTTATATAAATTATTATTGGTTTTATTATCAGGTGTCCAAGCAGAACTTTGCTTTTGAGCTGATGAATAACTGGAAAACATTTAATATGGACAGGAACATAGTATCGGGTTTTGCTGCTGCGGGCATTTATCCTTACGATCCAGCTGTTGTGTGTAAAGATTTTCCGGGAGTCGCACCAGAAACCCAACCTGTAACCAGTCTCCCTGCAAGTGTAATTTATGCTGAAAACTTTGTGGAAATTCGTCAGGTTTTTCGTAATATTCATGCCTACACTGAAAGCCAGATCAACCAGATTATGGAATTTTCCAAGCGCGTTTTGGATGGCTTCGTTCCCTTGCAGTCGGCTGAGACAGCAGCAAAAGAATACAAAGAGCTGTTGAACGTTGAGCGTCCAGCGAAAAGACGGTATAATAAAGATGCGCGACTGGACACTCAGATGGGAGCTATTGCAACTGAAAGTGCATTTTTGGACGCACTGAAAGAGAAATCGGATAACAAAAAACGCCGCCAGAAGAAATCCAACAGTTCGCAAATTAAGTGACGAGTGTCTTTCACATGCTGGGTTAAATTTTTATTTTACGGTGATTAATTTACGGTGATAATTCTAGTAAATCAAAACTAATTAAGGAATTGGTTATTATTAATTAATTTGGTGATAATTGGTGATTTTAATTGGTGATAATTCCTTGTTTTTATATAGCAAATTTGGATGGATTCGTTGATCTCTAAATTTTTGTAACTTTGTTTTCTGTTAAATTTATTTGTTATTCCTTGTTGCATTCGTTTTGGAAATAAACGCTTCTACTGGTTACAAATTAAGTACGTTTATACTTTATAGTATTATAAACTAGTTTTTATATGGGCCCATGCGGGTAATCTGAAATCATGGGTGGACGGAACGTGAAGGTGTAATCTGTAAGCGGTCGGAACGTGAGTAGAAGCGAAGTATGTGTAGACATCGTGACACATGCGTGTCATTGCATATATTAGCAAAAGAGATCCCATGCAAAAAAAAATGGCTCTAAGTATGAAAAATATTTCATTTTTCAGGGTTCGCAATTTTTAAAATCTGTAATGTTGGGCAGGGGCAAAATTGTAGCAAAGATTAACTATGCAAAGAATTGTCTGATGCAAATGAGCTGTACATATCTATACACGGTAGCAAAAGAGATCCAGTATGAAGGTTGCTTCAGCTCTTATCGGTCGTGCAATCATTGCGATCCAAGGCTTTGTTGAAATCTACCGTTAAGCCGGAATTGTAATTTTTTTCTGACTATATGTATTATGTGGTTTTTAACACATTCGCCATATTTGGAAGGTTCATTCTACGACAGCAGTATGCGACCGTGATACACTCGTCGCAGCGGAAACCGCGTTATGCCTGTTCCAAGCTGAAAATGCTGTCAGTACCCAGCCACTGAGCTCGGACACAGCAGCAGATACCAGCACTGTGTCACTGTTGCTAGCAACGCCGCAGCCAGAGCAGATTCCAAATGGGGGACAGGAACAGTCTGATTTGACGCCAACAAACAAGCATCCGCTTAGCGCCGAAAGTCAACAGCCCAGCTCTAGTTCGGCTCCCGATTGCAACTATGATGCAGAATTTCATCCCGCAATTGCCGATACTGAATCAGTAAAAACCGGGGATGTTGAGCAAATTGACGCATGCTGCACCAGCGAAATCCAGAAAGGTACGTGTACTTTGAGGTGAAGTCGATATGTTTCACTAAGATAATGTGCTCCGTGCTGCATGCAGTTAAAGATTTAATCTTAAAAAGACTAGAGTAATTACACTGGGGATTAGTGAAGTAGTAAGTTCCCATGTGATAATTCACTGTTCACGTCGGTCAAAACTTTGGCTTGCGCCAGAACATTTAAATGCAAAACTCTAGTTCAGAGGTCTAACAAGCTTTTCGTGACTGCAACGCACTATCATAACGAGCAACCCAGAACGGCACCTCTTAGATACATTTTCTTTTGTATCGATTTTGTTTAACAGATTTTTGTCCTGTAACCAGAAAAACACGCGAAATATGGTAAACAATCATTTCCAAAACAAGAACTGGGCAGACGTCACATTTAAGGGATACTGCTGTAGTTGCAGTTTCTAGTTGCAGCTTTCGTTTTTGTTTGTGCACTTCCGTCCTCGACTTCCATAATGTTTTCGATAATCGCTTTTCTGAAAAAGGCGGAGAGTGGGCTGAAAATCTGTAATAAACACTTTGTTTGAAGTAGGACACCCCCTCCAATCCACAAGAATGAGTAAGGACAAAAAACGGCTATTCTGCGAACTACGTAACGCCGGCTGCTCTCGGCATCAAATCGCGGAGCGCTTGGGTATCACTTTTGTTTCTCTGAACTACCTTCTCAAAATGGAAAAATTAACATGTCAAACTAAGCTGACGGAGGAGCAGAATAAAGAAATCGTGCACCTTATTCGCCAAAAAGGTTACAGTGCAGCAAAAATTGCGAAGAAGTTCAACATTAGCAAGTCGACCGTGAGTCGAATGGCCGGTCTTTCTGAAGAGCAAAAGAAAACAATCATGCAGCTATTCTATCGCGGTTACTCAAGAGCGGACATTATACGCAATGTTAACGTTGCAGCTGATGCCGTAGACGCTCTAATTCAACAAAGGAAAATGAGTTTTTCCGCGCGGGATAGATTTCCTATCAGTCTGAAGCAGAACGAAGACATACTTCACTGCTTTGAAGAAGGTCACAGTGGGCGGTACATCATAGAGAAGTTCAGTATATCAGAAGCCACCCTTGAAATGTTGCTGCGACAGAATGGAAGAACATTTCGGGAACGCACCCAACGAAGTCACAAGCAGGCGCGAGTTGCTGCTTTCAAGCTCCGAAAAGAAGGATTGTCATGGGGTGCTATAGCCGAACAGCTTCAAATGGGCAGGAGGACGCTGGGAAATATTCGGAAAACACCCGGCGAGGAATCGATCAAACCGAAAAACGTTAGATTAAGCAATACAAAGTCAGCCGAGGAATGGGTACTGGAATCGGATAGAGTCGAAGATAATCCGACGGCTCAGGCATCGCTGGTGGATGAGGACGACATAAGCGTTACGGGTAACGGGTGTCGAAGATCGGCTCGGGTGAAGGCCATGAAGCATCGTGTTCCAGGCAGTAAACGTCGACATGCCGATTCTTTCAATGGTGATAATTTCTCTGCGCATGACAACGTCAAAGCAACCACAGCGGAAATTCATGTATCCCCCAACAACACCGAAAATGTAGACGAAATGCCTGCAATACCTGCGAGGGACATCAATGAAGCTGCAAGGGATACGGGCTCCGAAAACAGCCAAACTGGTACGCATGTACATTGGCAAAAGGTTCTTAACAAAGGTTCTTAACATGCCAAAAATTACTCAACATCGTGCTATCTCTATCTAAGTGCTAACAATTGACATCCCACATTGTTAAAACTGACATTAGCTGTCACTATAAAAACATATGACAGTGATAAGGTCGCCCCCAACTAATTCGTTGCATGTTAGCATTTTCTGCCGACCAGGCAAGCCGATTCTTCGTGGTAACGGTATTTGCAGCGGCTCGTATAAAAGGAGTCATCACGTGCATGACACATACAGTACTACTGGCTTTAGGAGGCTAATGTTTTGACCACAAACGGTTCATTTATTCTTCTTACTTTCTAAAACAAACAGATAAACTGTTTTAAAGCTGAGCCGTCATGGCGAGCAGCAACAGAATTGCTTTGATGCTTTCTTTGAAGGAAATTATCACCTGACCGGTATGGCCTAGGCAACGGGTCGACTGTGTCCGCGGTATCCTGATGTCCGGTCCCCGTTGTGAATTCCGTTATACTCCGAACTTTTTGCGTAAAGAAAATATTATGTATGTGTCTAGTGTTTAAAAGTTCAGGAGACAGGCAGGTAGACTGTTGCAAGGTAGCTCGCTACCTTGACCAGCAAGGTAGCTCGCTACCTTGACCAGCAAGATAGCGAGGAGCGACAATTAGAGTAGTGCCCGTAAACGTTTGCGGGCTTGGCTACTCAATAAACAATCAATCAATCAATGTGGATCTGACCTTATCTTTACTCTCGTTAAAATTTTTCAGCACGCTTTAAACTATTAACGGCATCACCGCATTTCTACTTACGGCAGATCGGGCAGAATAATGGTTTCATATAAGCAGGCTGAATCGTTCCTGATTTATTTTTTGTTCTTTTTAGCCACGGAAGAGGATGATGCACATCAGCGTGGCGCAGAAGTCAGTCCGGGAACCAGCGATGGTGATTCCGCGTCTCCATGTGAGTGTGAGCCGGATTTGGGAATCTGTGGGTCTGAATGTCCGCCTGTTATGACCTCCATAGAGAAATTCTTAGCGGGCACCATGAACAAAGAGCCTATCGCTACGTCTGCGCTCGACGATGACATGTTAGAAATAACAGATAACCAACGGCCGTTATCACCCGATGGTGATGCGTGTGGTATCCTTCCAGTTTCTCCAGATAATCAACATAGCGAAACCATTGGAACATGCAGTTTGCCGTCCATCGTGCCAGTATTCGATCCACCCACCCCAATGCCAAACCCGTTTACGCAAGAACGCGAAATGGTTACTGACCGGGACGAAAATCGATATCAGGAATTCCAATCCGCTGCTGTGAGACTGCGCGAACAGGGACACTCTTACGAAGCAATACTGCAGCACATCAAAGCTTGTTTCCAATCCGATGCCTTATCACTCGAAGATGCCTGTGAAGGAACCGGGGAACCGGTGGAAAGCAGCCACAAAGAACCATCCGTCATTTGTCAGCGCTCTGATGTAGGTTGAACAATTGTCTAAGAGTTTTGCTTTTTCATGCTGCCAAATTTTTTAAATTTTTAATGTTGGGCAAAAGTAAAATTGCAGCAAAGAATATGAGAAAAACGAGCTATACATATCAGCTTTCCAGTCCGATGCAGGACACTAACATAGATTTGTACAGTATATATCTACGATTGCATATTGCAAAAGAAATCCAGTGCAAGGAAGTGGTTGCTTCAGCTCTTATCGGTCGTGCGATTCTAGGCTTTGGTGGCAAGAATTATAAAAATGATTTTTTCGGGATATCCTGCCTGGATTTTGACAAATGCATTATATTTTGAGGTTCAACCTGTGACAGCAGTATGTGACCGTGATGCATGCGTCATTGCGGGAACCGCCTTATGCCCGGTGGAAGCGGAAGATGTTGCCAATGCCGAGCCGCCGAGATCGGGCACAGCCGCAGATTTGAGCACTGTGTCACTGTTGCAAGCAAGGCCGCAGCCAGAGTGGATCTCGGATGAGGGGCACGAACAGTCTGATTTGACGGCAAACAACGAGCATCCGCTTAGCGCCGAAAGTATCCAGCCGTGCTCTCCATCTTCTCCCGATGGCAACTGCAATACAGAAGTTCCTGCAGCGATTGGCGATATTGAAGCAGTAAAAAACGGGAATGCTGAGCAAATGGACGCATGCTGCACCAAAGATGCCCAGGAAGGTGTGCACTTTGACATTGATTTAAAGTGGAATGTTTTCACAGTTTACGAGACTAGTTAAACCGAGGATTTACTAATTATGTAATCATCGGCAGCTCTGCAAGATGAAGAAAACATCCGCGGTGATTCGGAGTCTCCGTGTCAATGCTCGTCAGATCCGGAAATCCTTCGCTCTGGACGCCAGAGTGCCATGACCTCTACAGAGGAATCCTCAATGGAAGCCGTGTTCGAGCAGCCTATCGTTAATTCGGTCGACTCTCACATTAAAAAAATAGCGGATATTCAGCGGCCGCCATCACCATGTATTGATACAGGTAACATCCTTCCAGTTTCTCTACACAATCAACAGAGCAATAACGCTGGAACGTGCGATGAGCCATGCATCGTGCTG